TCGTTATCTCTTGCGTCTGGTATCTTGCCTGGTATACTGGTTTATATTTGATCACTCTTTCTGCTGTCTATCTGTCTGGTTTATCAACGACTTTCTTTGGCTAATTGGTTCTTTGTTGACTGTCAATGTGGAGTCACAAGGTTAGGCTTAGGAGATCGTCAGGAAGTCATTGTGTTTGGTTGGTCTTCAATAATGGTACACTGTATTAACACTTTAATCAGTTATAAGGGACTAATCATAGATGCCATAGCTAGGTCATTTGGTCTTACAACAAACTCAAGATCCTTGGAAGATTTCAGGTATAGCCTGTCATGTGTACACGACCACCAGCCAATAACCATAGTATTACTTGTTGTATTCTTCACTTATTACCATTGGTGTATGTATCTTAGACATCTATATAATATATTAAAATCCTGTTACTTTTAAATTCGAAAAATATAAATTAAATATATTGAGCTAGATAGCTTGAAGCCCTAGGTGGTTCAGTGTTGAGCTATATAGCACTAGCTAGGTGCTGACTGGCAACCCAACTATGTTGGCAAAGCTCTCGCTAAGCATGCTAGGGCTACTAGGCAACGGTGGATTCGCTAAACACTCTAGGCAGATACCTAGACCACCTAGCACTACCTAGATTTTGTCAGATTTCGTGATGTGGATTGAGTAACTATGAGGAATTATACTCAAGCATAGCCTCTCACATAGTCAAGTATACTAATTACTCACCTATTCAATGAACATTAATCAAATACATAATACGTCGAGCGAGGCATGGTGGCTGGGGAGAAAGACTGGCAAACTGGTCCTCCCCCAGAGAGCTCTCCGCTTCCCACGGCTGACAAGTTTTGTGGACAAATTCAGGAAGAAATTTCTCGGGACTCCGCTTCCGCCAAATCTCAGGGAATATATTGATGACCAGTCTGCCCGTCGATGCCGCTCTGAGAGAAAGAGAGCAAAAAGTACGAAAAATACATCTGATTGGTTGATACGGATGACGTCACCCGCTGGCTGACCACCACTTCAACTCAAGTTGTAACCAAACAATGACCACCGAAGCATACGTATTCCAGCCCTTATCCTCCTCATACTGCACCTTTTCATCCCTCATGTTATATTTTCCCATACATGCGTATTTATCCTCTTAGGTGGATCCCATGAGCTATGCACGAAAAACCCCAACGAGGTCAGCGTATTTTACGGCGAGATGCCTTCAATCACAGCATAAGTTTGTCAATTAAGTCCTCATAAGCTCGTTACGCATGTTATATTATGCTTATATGTTAACATAGGATCCCTTTACTCCTACTCCATAGGGAACACAAGCGTATCGCTTTCATCTAATGCCTGACAACGGACCCAGTACACCGCACGGTCGATAGCTTCGAAGCACCTCCAGCTGCACCTGAATGTATGAGCTTATAGAGTCCGACTATTCCTTCGTGGCTCCTGGAGCTGAGATGGTCGTCTCTCGGAAGAGATGTATCGAAGGAGATGTAGAGGGAAGAGCCTCACGCACATGCCTGGAGAGGATTCTTTCTCGTTTTGATTATCAGGAATACGCGGAACTATATCACCCGGTACATTTCTCTTTATTCTTCTATTATTCCACGGACAAGTTTAGAGTATAGACGAAGCAATCGCCATATACAACGACCTCTGCCGTGATGTGCGACCAACTTGCACGTTCTTCTCTCCTTCTATTCGCCCCAAACCATTGCCATTTAAGCCACGGTAACGCTCTCAGTACAGGCTGAATCGTTTTCGAAACATCCATGGACATTGCTGTACCCGCCACTTAAGCCCAGAGGCCACTGTAACGAAGACAACAAAGCTCGAGATAGTTGTGCCTGGAATGCTTTCCACCTTTGCGCAGGCGGATAGGTTATCGACTTGAGATTGAGCCTTAATAGAGAAAGTCCTTTGTACGATTCACAGGGAATGAAGTTGTGCCGAGAGCGATTTGGCGCGAAGGTGATGAGGCTCGGAGGGGAGGTTCTATTGGATTTAGACAGCGACCAGATCAGGGTGAATGTCTCTATTTTTTGTTGCTACAATACATCCTTAATGACGGTAGGACATCCCTAGATCATCATCTTCCCAGATGGACTCCTACTTTTAAGGTGATGTATCCCTATTCTCGTTAGGTTGATATTCAGGATTATCGACGCACCAAATCCTCAAGTGAGATCCTCTATCCTTCAATGATTGCAGATCGAGTTCCATTGCATGGTCGACTTAGCTTTGTTTTGAAGACGCAGGCTTTGGGGATCAAGCAAGCATTGTGCAGCGTCCTGATCCTTTCCTTGGCGGCAATAATTTCACGTTCTGTGATTATGGTTGATCTGTTCATGATCATCCGATACTTAATGGTTTCGACTTTTCAAGGACGGTTATTATTGCCATCGTCCAACCGCCAATGGTATAATTTGGGAATTTTTGTTTTATAGGCAAGTAAAAGAAAATCAAGACCGATATACAGATGTCGAAAATGTAAAATAAAATACAAGTACGTATCAGATTGTGAAAAGTCCAAATAGCGCTTTGTGGGGTATAAGGTATTGTACATTTATGATTGGTTACAGTGATGATGCCAGGAGAGGAACATGATGAGACCCGAAGAAAAAAATTGAGTAGGAATCTAATAGGGCTAAGGTTAGTCCAGGAAACAATATATTTAAGAAAGAGATGACATACAATGAAACGGAGGAATATTTTTTTCTTTTATACATGCTGAGAGTGAATTACATCCAAGCACAGTCCTCGAGGTCCAGCATTTCAGCCTGAGCAAAGAGCATTAGCTAGGGGTCTGACAAAAATTATAGAACTGCTCACTTTTTCAACGATTTGGATTCCTTTCTTGTTGGAATGATACTGATTTTGCTTGTATGATGTAGAGTCGGAGGAGACCTATATTATAAAGGATTAATTCTAGTTAATTACTCTTCTGCAATATTACTTACCTCGCCGTGGCTTCTAATGCAGGTACGAAGCATGCTGGTGAAAGCTCGGGTGACGGTGGAAGGCATGTTATGAGAGGGTGTGGTAAGTGGAGAAGCTGATTGAAGAGGCAAGGATTACTGAAGGAAAAGACGGTAGATGGTGTCAGCATTTATACAAAAACCGAATGAGTCGTCTGCCATCTTCGGATTGGATCAGCGCTTCCGGCCAATATTGGAATGCTTGGCAATGGCTGTTCAGTGGGGGGGGCACATCAAATGCTGTCCGCCTTTTCCGCAGTGTGACCGTTGGAGCGCATGCTGTGCGTCCTTTTCGCAGCTGCCTTCCTCGACCATCAGACTCTATCTTCAACCTCCTAGTGCTTCTCCCGTTGGTATGACTGTGCAATGACTGTGCAACATACAACCATAGTCTATTTACGGATTATCATACATACTATTAATAATGTCAGATAATCCGTTGGAAAAACGGGACTGCCGGAGACAGCCCTCTGACAGGTAACGTAGTCATACTTCCGTTATCGATCCTTAGTGGAGTCCATGTTTCTATTGTACCTTCGAGAAAAGGTAGTAGAAATTCTGAAAAAATTCTGTCAAGAATTGGATCAGAAATATATAGGCGAGTATAGCTAACACTGTCTAACAGAAATAAACATTAATGTGATATTGGGAAAGAATTGAGAGCCTGAGGTAAATCGATGTCTACTGAGCAATTGCCAAAGAGGCTCCATTCACAAATTCAGAAGGCGTACAACCACCAGTAACTAATGGTCTCGGCATCGAGAGCATTCGGAGATCGATCGATTAGTAGGCAAATAGACGTACAACTATTCATAGTCGGAAATTATACCTGCCGGACAAAGGTCGGGAGCGAGAACGTACCAGAAGGTGGACTATGGGACGATTTTCTAAGAAGGCGGCTAGGAAGAATATATTAATGCACAGCATGCGGTGCACCAGCGGAAATAGACGGACAAAGCGGACAGCATTAGGCATGTCAGCCGGCGCTGAATAGCCGTCTATTGGTCGGACGCATTGGACCAATCCGAAGATGGCTGGCAGTCGACTCACCTCATGCTGATTTTATATAAAGACGTACTTCATGCGCAGCCCCTTTCCTCAGCAATCCTTGCAACCTCTTACATCACATTCTCCACTCAACACTTCTCGAATCTCTACTCAAACATGCCTTCCGCCGTCACCCGAACTGTCACCGATATGCTTCGTTCCTGCATAAGAAGTCATGAGGTAAAGATTTCGCAGAAGATTCAGAGTAGTAAAAGCTCATTCTTGCTTTCCTTATAGATCTCCTCAGACTCTGCACCATACAAGCAGAGCCTTAACCATTCTAACAAGGGAACTCGAACCATTGAGATAGTGAGAAGCTCTATTATTCAGCTGTGCCATAGCTAATGTGACTATTTTATTAGGCTGAAATGCTGAACTACGAAGATTGTTCCTGGATGTAAATTCATCTTCGAGGCATCGGGAAACAATGTCTTTTTTTCTCATCGTACGTCATCTCCTTTTTCAAAGCGATATTCTCTGGACTAACCTTCTCAACCAGATCTGTATTCTAGTTTGTTTTCTTTGGGACTCTCCATGATCATCATTCTCTTCACTGTAGCCAAGCATATATGTATAGTACCTTATACCCCACAGAACTCTACCTCTGGACTTTTCACAATTGCCTCTGATATTTACCTGTATTTTAAGATGTTGTTGTTTGTATAACAATCTTGATTTTTCCGTACTCGTCTGCGTACCAAGAACCAATCACAATTGTGTGATATATCGGAAGCGAAGCTTCAGATATCTGTCGAAAGCTGAATTTCGTTCAGTACGTTTATATGAACCATTTCGGCAAACCGCCCGGCAGAGCTTCTCAAATAAATTATGAGACAGAGAGATGATCTCCAAAGAATTCTATAAAAAGATACATGACCTACTATATCACTAGCAAACAACTAAAATATAGGCTCACCTGACTGCGCATTGCATTGTTGATACACACTGACACTCTAAGTGTTGTGCAAGAAAAAACACACTAAGCAAGAATTGAGCTCGCGGCTAGTCGATGGCAACGACTAAGGTTACCACTAACCCATTAGTACATCCATTTGACACACCGTCCACATTATTCACCTCGGCAATGCATCTCCTCCAGAGTGTATTTTCTCCTGCACAGCTTTGATAGCTTGACGGAGATTACTGGCACGGAATTTTGAGATTAACAGATCACAGACCGTTTATGAATTATGCTACATACTATTAATAATGCCAGAGGATCCATTAGGAAAACGGGAATGACGGAGACGGGGGCGACCAAGTCGTATTGACACTTCTGACTTCTGACTTCTGACAGGTGACGCAGTTGCACCTGTTGGTTCTCAGTGGACTTTACGTTCTGCATCTCGGAAATGTCGTAGAAATGGTGCAAACGTCTTGCTAATAATAACACCAAGCATGAGTGATTATAGCTTGAAATAAACTTGAATCAGAAATACGCATCGACTGTGTGATTTTCCAAGGGTACCTGTGGCTCGACGTTCCTGAGCAGACGACTACTACTACACGGAGTCCTTGTGCCAGTGTACCTGGTGCCAAGATTACGAGGTCGTACGAGAGAAAATTGACTAAAGGTCTGAAACCGGGTGAGTCGTGTGCAAATTGGCACATGCATCTCGAGGCCGATGCGTAGGTAGACTTACATCAACAGCTGGTCCGACTTGAAGTAATGTCTTCTAGTCGGGAATCATGCCTGACGAAGATCGCGAAGAGAGAAAGTCCTTGAAGGCAGAAGGTGCAGCTGGGAAGGTTTCAATTAATTGCACAGCAACCGGGCGGGGATAGTGCGGAGAACCCGGATAGCATTACACATACGACCCGCCATCTAATGGTCGGAGGTGCTTGGCCAATCAGAATTAAGGATGACAGACGACCTCACCTAATTCAGCTTGGTTTTTTATCTATAAAAACGGAAGTCGTGTGCCGTCTTTTCCTTCAGCAATCCCTTGCCTGTTCATTTCATCACATCCTATACTCAAAACCTCTCCACTTAACAACACCCTTACGTCAAACATGTCCTCTACTACCGTCACTCGTGCTGTTACCAAGATGGATCGTTCTTATTTCCCCAAGAAGAGCTTCCCAATCGTCGAAAAGGTAAATATTCCCCATTCTATATGTCTCCTCCAAAACTAATATTCCGTCTTAAGGCTGAAGTCCTAGACATCGAAGATTCTCCTTGGATCTAAACACATTAGGAAATAGAAGTCCTTTGGTTCTCGATCTTCGTAAGTGATCAGCAAAGAGATGTTCTCTGAACTAACCTTCTCGTTATTAGATTTGTATTCTAGTCGATTTTTCTTCCTTGTACAGTCTCATTCTCGCGACATCATCACTGTAACCAAGCATTATATATAATACCCCACAGAGCTGAATTACTTAGCTATCTGGACATTTCACAATTCTCTTTGATTCCTGTGCTTGTGCTTGTACCTTGCAATGTCGTTGTTTGTATAACAAATTTGGTTCTCTTTACTCGTCTCCTATAAAGCCTGAACCGTCAGACGCTTAGTTTATCTGTCCACCACTGCGAGTTTGCCTTCCGGTTTCTCTCCTTTGTTTTGAACTGACTGCAAAGCATTAGCCTACCTTATTTAGATACAATTTGTCTTGCAATATTGGACTCGGAATAATCTGCAAGGTATCCTGCTGCTGAGAAGAGATTGAGATCTAGAAGCTTGAGGAATATGTTTATGTGGAGTTTCCACAGTGAAGATGACTATATCAGCCTGAAATCTTCAGGATTTCTTTCAAGTTCTATGACATACGCGAATTGTACGCTACAGCTGCACGTTCTATGAGCGTTATTTTGCAGGATTGCAGATGAAGTTCTCATCTAGTGGGACGTATGATTCCAAGAGAAGAGTGCGAGCAAAAGAGATATATCTTCGATGAATCAGTCGATCTAGCCAATGTTATGAAAACTATGATGGACTATATTAACTCTGTACGCCCTGTTTTGTTCTTTTCGTCGTTTTGCACGGATAACCTTGGAGTATAAGCTTAGATCGTTAAAGAATCGTCATTGCATGCTGTGTGATATATAAGGGTCGAAGGTGATCGGTATCAGCGAGACATAGGATTAGGACAGGACGTTCTGGTGGAGTTTGGCACCCTGCAGGTCAGCATTGAACTCCTCGGAGACCAGTCCTCATCCATGTCACACCGAAGCTCCTCGTCTTCCCTAAAGTCCCTCTCTCATTGGTTCATCGAGTATTCCCGCGACAACTCTGGCCAACGATGACCGGTCACCAACGATGGATACCACTGGAACCTAGTGGGCTGTAATCTGGAATTATGGATGCATATTTCAGGGGAAATATTGTCTCGACCAGTGGTGCCCGTTGGAGGCAGGTTACGTTGAATATGAGTTTAACTAATTGTTTTGAATTATTCAATAATACTATCTAGAATTATTTTGAGCTCAACGGGATGACTGTGGTCTCATAATATTTTACACAATTTATGAGTATTCATGTTGGTAGAGTCAGGGCTGAAGATGACTGAATACAGGCATAACCAATGGTCTGCAATTATTTATTATACTAACCAGATGTTATTTACCAGTGATTATCATCAGCATGAAGCTGTGGTATTTTTTATGCTTTTCAGAGAATACTCCGCTCATACTGCTCAACATTAACCAAACATGGAGATATTACTCCTGGTCAGCATAATGGGTAGGGAAGCCAGATACATGATGGTAACACAATAATGACTATTGAGTAGTAGATTTATTACCATGGCTGTTTGAATCACTCCAAACTATCTGAGAATATTTTATAATGTAATGGTCATCAGGCAACACTGCATCAGGAAACCTGGCAAATGCTATATAGGCTATATAGGAATTATAGAGCCCATACATCAGGAAACTTGGTAAAAACCGGCGCCTAATGGCTCAGTAATGAATTTTGGTTATTCCTATGGAACGACATGGGGATATCATTTTTTTTTGAGAACCTGGTTCATATGATCTGTTACTCTATCATGACAAATAACTGGGGCCATCTTCAGCTATGATTGCTAGCATAGTCATCCATAGCTGACTATAGTTTAGGCACATTTCCATAGCAAAATTTGCACAGGCAATATCTTGACACAGACTGTATAGGTGGCCCCAGGTGTTTGTCATGAGATGATTATAGATCATATAAACCAGGTTCTCAAAAAAATAAAATAGGATATCCCTGTGTCATTCCATAGGAGTAACCAAAATTCCTTGCTGAGCCATTAGGTGCTGGATTTTACCAAGTTTCCTGATGTAGTCCATAGTGTCACTGGATGCCACCTAATATTCTGATATGATAGAAGCCACAGGTACTACAGAGAGACATGATAGGGATTCTAGAGCACATATTCTCAATATGACTCACTAGACAGGTATTCCTTTACTAGAGAGTTTTTGCAACAGCACCAGCGCTTTTCTGGCACTATTTTGGGTTTTGCAGCTGGCACTCCACCATGTGCCATGATGTCCATCTCAAGCAAAGTTCCCAACCATTAAACCCCTCCTCTAACCTTGTCTTTGCAACCAAATAATACCACTAAATTGAGCTCAGCCTCAAAAGGTGCATTCTGACACTCACGAGAGCTCTCTGTGTGGGGATGGTCAGCAAACTGTCCCCCTAGGTGGAGTGCTGACTGCAAAACCAAAAAATAGCGCCAGTAAAGTGTGGGCACTGCTGCAAAAACTCTCTACTATTTATTATTTGTACCAGCTCCATAAGGATGTGTAATCATAAAGCATGAATATATTTTCTATCTAGTAATATACTGCAGGGGTACCAATTGGCACTATACTTATATTTCCAATTAAGCTAACCACTTACGAAGCCTGATAATGACCACCTGAGAGAAATATGAGACACAGAGTGATACTTGGGTAAAGGCACACTGTACAGAGCTAGAGGGGCGGTCAAACTCTGTTGCATAAGATATGCAACTGCAAAATGTATGATGAAGGTGAAAGGAAAAAGGGCTCAATGTCTATATCTGCCTTTAAGCTATATAAGCAAGTCACTACAGCGAGTTAGCAGAAATTCAAATATATTAGAGAGTTTGTGCAAGAGTGCTGGCACTTTCTTGGCGCTTTTCTGAACATGTCTCCTCTGCTTCTTTGTTCATTCTGATGTCCATAATGAAGTTGAAGCAACATTTAAAAGGTTGACATTTCTCATATAATCTCCATAATTACATGGTTGAGTCACGTAGTATTTGTAGTGAAATACCGCCAGAAAGCGCTGGTGCTCTTGCACAAACTCTCTATTGAACGAGCTGAACGACTTGCCTCGGACATTCATATTGCAAGTGTCACTCAGGTCGTCCCTGTAGCTCTGGAGTTATCTGCCCACTAGATCTGAATAGAAACAACCCTTGGGTCAGTAGCCATATCCAAGACGATGTTTTTTTTGTAAGTGTACCTGCTACCGACTCTGCACAATGGCACCAGAACATTCAGTTCTCACATAAGTAACCACAGCTTCAGACGGATCTGGGCCATGATCATAAACTTAGTAATCTAGATTCTAAAGCATCAGTGGTATTGGAGGACTTAGGTCATGCAGCAGAGAGCGTACTCAGCTCAAGGAGGATGACATCGACGTTGTGTGGAGCTGGTATACGTAGTAGATTGCAGTCAAACTTGATGGTCTGTTGGAACCTTAGAAGAGATTATGGGGTAAATGGTACTATATACTCACCCAAGTGGAGTTTCATACTCAAAAATCGAATAGACAGTGGGTTTGATGGAGTGGGAATGGGTGGTGGTGAGGATGATAATGGTACGATGCTAAGTTACAAGTCGCTAATCTGCTGCTCACTATTGTTCAAATAGCGGAGTTTGAGTAGTGAGATGGTAGTGAGCCATAGTTGCCCATTACAGTCGATTCTCTCATAATGCATAATATCATATTGCATAAATCTCATATTGCATTGGATTTGGGCCGCTCCGCTGCATGTATCTATGGTGCATTGCATATTGCATAATGCATAGGATCCAGGGTGACTATATGCATTATCAGACATCTGGTATCAAGCCAAAACC